TGGAAATCGTGGGCTTCTCAGGTGGCTGGGGCGGTGGCCCTGGCCCTGCTGTCCTCAGACCTCACTCACTGGCTGTGACAGTTCTCAAGCATCAGTGTGCGTCCCGGGGACCTGGCCCCGCCTGCAGAGCCTCTGAGTCCGTCCACATGCTGCGTCTCCAGCAAGTGCCCAGGCCGTGCTGGGGCTGCCCGTGCAGGGCCCACAGCCCGAGGACGAGGGCGGCCGGACAGCAGAGCGCCCCGCGCAGGACCGGGCTGGGGTGGCGTCCCAGGGCCAGCTTCCAGCAGGCGGGGAGCAGGGGTGAGATCACGTCTGTTTTGAAGCCCGTCCGTGAAGGGCAGCGTAGGCCCCGTCGTCTGGGGAAACCAGAGCCGTTCAAACCGTGAGAAGAAACAGTGTCCGTGACACCAGAGGCCGTTCGTGGGTGACCGTGACTTTGCACGGCTGGAATGAACAAAAATCAAGGTGCCTACTAAAAAAATTGCAACACACCAGCTTTGAGAATCTCTTCCTTTATATGTTTTTTTCTTTAAAAAGCAAAAATAATTTTAAGAAAGGGAAAAGATTTATTTTCTTTGTTTTGCTGATGTTGGAGTTCACAGATCTACGGATTTGAATTACTTTCTCAGTCTTTTTTAATTTCTGTGTTTGCTTGTAAAACCAACAGACCTCCACGGATGGGTTATAACACGTAGAGCACTTATGCAATTACACTCATGAAACCCTAGAGACGTCAGGTCTGCTTCTGGCGGGACTTGGCTTGCGCCACCCTCCACTGGCCGCCTGTGAGATCCGACGGCCTCACCCTCCCAGGGCCCCGCGGTGCGCGAACTCACCATTTCCTCTGATTGTGTGGAGCCCGGTTTTCTGTAACAAGCCGGCAGTGACTTGGGACTCCCAACACCCTGTGTGCCTGACATTACAGAATGTTCCGTCTCTGGCCGGTCTACCCCACCCTCTACTTTATTTCTGTTTCTCGTGGACTGTCTTTGTTTTCAGATTGTGATCTGATTTCCACCGCCCTAGCTGCTCTTGGCTTCTTGGGCTCTGCTGAGCCAGTCCTCCTCTTCCCAGTGAGGAGGAGATTCTCGCCTGCACTTTCCCCGGGGGTCCAGATCCTGGGGGCCTCCTCTGCCGTCCTGCACGGGCATGGGAGCTGCCTCCACTGTTTGCTGCTCACGTAACGACGTCACGGTGAATGTTGATATATGGGGTCACCGTATGGGTTCATCTGTAAAGCTGTGTTGGTTACTCGTAATTGCCTTTTGAGGGATTTATGGAATCTATGCTTGTGAGGATGTCGGTAAGGAAGGAGGCAGGTTTTAGGTCCCGGGGGGCGGCGTACGTGCAGAACCAGAGGTGCTCCTGGATGAACCGGGGCTGTCTGCTGTAAGCCTCCCTGCTTGCCGCTGGGATGGATTCTGTGGTCAGCCGATGGGTGAGCTGGAGACCCTGGAAGACCTCCGTTGAACGGTTCTGCTGACTCCAGAACCCTCGTCGGCAGGTGGTTCGGTGTGATTGGACAGTGATTTGCTCACTAGAAGGCAGAAAAGCGCAGGCCCTTGCAGCCGACCTGATCTGTGGGCTTGCTTACCTCCTCACCTGTAAAATCACTGGACGGTCATCCATGGAGTGGAACTGCCCGGGCGCAGGCGGCCGTCTGGGAACCAGCTCGCCCACCCGGTTTTGACGCGTAAGGTTATCGGCTCTGCATTTTGCCGGGATTAGTATTAAATTCCTCCTGTTGAATTTAGCAATGCCTGTGATTTCTTTTGTATTTTGGCGTTGAAAATTAATCTAAACGCCTGTGATCTCTGGCTTTGATTTGCCTTGACGTGAACACATTTTAAAGACACCCAGCCCTATTGTTTTTTTTTTTACCTAAAATTCCTTTTACTTCTTTTTCACTAGATTTACACTTTAAAAGAAATCCAGTTTCTCCAACTTGCTTTAAAGGGCTGACTAAGATTAAACATACCGTCCTCTCACGTATTGGTTGTGTTGGTCCGTGCACTCTGCACTGTATCGGGGGGAAACTTCCGTACAGGCTCTCACCAAACAGAGCACACTCAAGGCTTCTTCTTGGCCGACACTTTTCCGTTTCCCGGCCTCGTTTCTTGTCGCCCCTGCTTGGCACCTGTGCGGCGGAGCGCGGCCTCCCGGCCACTGCTGCCGCTGCTTCGGAGCTGCCTTGTGTCACTGCTTTGCTCACCAAAGCGCTCTTCTCAGGGGCTCCGGTTTCTGTGAGCGGGGCGTTGTTTTCAGCTGTTTGTGTCTGACGCCGGCAAGGGGTGAGTGTAGCATCCACAGTAAATGAGATTCTCGTTTGTTTGCTCGTTTCGTTCTGTTTTAGTTTCTCCAGTGGCCAGATGAGTCTGGGTTCCTGGGCCGTGCGGCTGCGCTCAGGCATTTGGGTCCCTGCGCAGGTGTTACGGATGTTACGACAACTCCAGGACAGACCTTACTTAACGTCAGGATGAGTTATTTCCACGGGGAATATTTTTTGACATAGAGACTTGGGGGAAAATTACAACTACTCATTTTTAACATTGGATTTATTCAATTTAACATTGAAACGGTCGTGATTGCCATAGCCAAGTCGGGAAATGGGTAGATTGATTCCTCCTCCTTGTTTTTGAAGTTGGGGTTGTTGTTTTTTTTTTGAAATTTGTTTTTTAGAAATTGGCTTGGAATTGTTTTAGACATCCTAGTTACTTTCCATATAATTTAAAAATAATCTCATCTATATCCACAAAATATCATGCGGGGGTTTCGACAGGCATTATGCTAGCTAGCCACATCGTCAGCTTCAGGAGGAACCGACACCCTTACCTCGCCGAGTCCTCCAGGCCGTGCGCGCCGTCCGATGCTCCGTCCGCTCGGTGCTTCTCGCCGCCGCCCTCCTGTAGTCTTCACGCCCAGGTCCCGGGAGTGTGTCGTCAGGTTTGCACCTGGCGGGTTTTTCCTCTTTGAGTGATCGTAGGTGGTGGTGTGGTTTCAGCTTCAGTGCTCACACATGCATCGCTCGTATGTGAGTGTGCAGTTGATTTTTAGATGTCGACCTTGTATCCTGCAGCTCACTGAGATCAGCTGTTACTCCCAGAATACCTGTGCAGCTTCTAAGGATCTTCCGCATAGACCACCATGCCGTATGCACATAGAGACGGTTGCATTTCTTCCTTTCTGATCTGCGTGCCTTTTCTTTTCCCAGTCTTCTCCCACCCTGCGCCCCCCTTCTGCCCCTACCGCCCCGGCTTCGGCTTCCGGCACCGTACGCAGTGAGAGCATGACAGTGGGCAGTTTGCCTCCCAGCATCAGGCATGATGTTGGCTGTAATAATAATAATCGTCATCATTATTATTGGTAGATGGCCTTTGTGAAGGTCAGGAAGTTCCCTTCTGTTCCTTTAAATTGCTTAGATGTGTTTTGATCATGAACAGGTTTTGAATTTTCCCAAATTGTTTCTGCATCGGGGCTATTTTGATTTCTCTTAGCCTTTTCGTGTAGCAGGTTATAATGACTGATTTTTTAAAACAATGAACCAGGTTCGCACCCCTGGAATGCACCTCACTTTGTCAGGGTGTGTGGTTCTTGTCATATTTTGCTGAAATCTGTTTGCTAATATTCTGTTAAGGATTTTTGCCTCTGTATTCATGAGGATTATTGATTTGTGTTTTTACTTTTTGTATTAGAGTAATACCAGTAATAGTAATACTGGTTTCATAAAATTAATTGGAATTGGAACTAGTTTCATAAAATTAATTAATTGTAACATTCTTAATTAATTGTAAGAAATGTTCTCCTTTTAATCTAAGCTTTCCTTATTTCATGAGAATTTGTTTAATTTTTATGATTTTGTGGTAAGCATTTTCCTATATAAATCATTGCAAACATTTACCCTTAGAATAATTCAAGAAATGGCATTGTTATGTCAAATGATGGGAACGTCCATAGTTTTTGATGAACCCCCGTACCTCGGGGGAGAGAGGGGGCTCCAGGAACCGCTCCGCAGCCGTGGGGGCGTGGCGGGACCGCTTCAGCGAGTCTCCACCCACTTGAGCGAGTCTCCACCCCCTCGCGCCCTGGCGCAGGGTTTCCCTTTGGAGGAAAGATGCGTCCTTGTGTTGACGGGGCTGTGATGTTATTCGGCCTTCACTTGGTTGCAAGTGCATCATTTGAGAAACGGGCCTACCGTTTGTTGCCATCCCTCCGCCGGCTGCAGCGAGAACAGCAGCGCTAAATAAAAAGGCACACTCGGGCACTGACACCGGGGTGCTAGATGAGCGTCCGATGACCCAGAAAATGGTGTGTGTGTGTGTGTGAGTGTGTGTGTGTGAGACAGAGAGAATTTTAGTCGACTTAAAAAATAAAGAGACTTAGAATGCTTTTACAGAAAATGAACAGCACCTCAGAATCAGTCCCTGACTTGCGGAACTCATAGACCCCAAGACCAGATCACTCACGCCACTCTCCAGGGTCTCCATCCGGCTGGGTTACGTTTCTCTTCCTTTTCAGCTTTTTTTTTCTTTTTTGACTTCTTATTTCTGTGAGAACATGCTCGCTTTCCCCCAGATTTGTGTGAAGTTTGTGCCTACCTCTTCCATTATAGTTTAATGATTTCTCCTTCAAACTCTTCCTTTGCTTTTTTTTTTGTATTTAGTACTTTGGAATTTAATTTTTTTGTAATATTAATTTTAATTGTTTGATTTTCATGTTCTCTATGTCGCTGAACCTCAGAGCCCTATAGGCAAAATGGTATCTTAAATGTTCCTTAATCTGCAAGATCATCATTGGAATTCCTGAAGCACTTTAACCAAAGTAAATCAAATGACAGTAGAACACTCAATATTAGGGACGTAGTTTTCCTTGCAGAAGTATGTTATTTCTCCATAGAGAGAGTAAGCAAAGCAAGGTAATTGGATGTAGCAAACTGGTGTTGCTAAGCAACTGGAAGGCCTGGGGAGCGGTGCGTCTTTCACCCACTCGTTCTGCGTTCTCAGGGCTGCTGGGGAAGATCCTGACGGCCATCCGGGACGCCGGCTTCGAGGTCTCGGCCATGCAGATGGTGCGTAGTGCGCAATGGGTCGCGACCTGCTGGGGCGGTTCTTCCGCACAAGCTTTAAAAATGCTTGACATTGCATGTTCTCTGCTCACTCACTGCATCCAAATACAAAAAAAAAAAATAGTTACTGAACTTGAAAGTCTTACAATCAAAAAAATGTTTTTGAAATTATTTGACCCATATACTCTTTCACTGAGGGAACTAATATTCAAATAGTACGCCTAATTTAAGCTTATATGGTAGGTTTATGTGATTCTTGGAACTTCGATTGCAAATATGGGCTAACACAATATATTTAGTTTTTACAAATGAAAAATAGAATCAAGCTAGCCCTGGCTGGAGTGGCTCAGTGGACTGAGCACCAGCCTGCAAACCAAAGGGTTGCTGTTCGATTCCCAGCCGGGGCACACGCCTGGGTTGCGGGCCAGGTCCCCAGTAGGGGGCGTGTGAGAGGCAACCAACCCATGTTTCTCTTCCTCCCTACCATCCCCTCCCTCTAAAAATAAATAAATAGAATGACAGGAGAATTGAGCTAAGTGGTTATAAGGAATTTTCTGTTGCCTAGATTTGTGACTGAGAAGAGAAGGCGGGAAGAGAATCACTTCAGCTTTTTCCCTGACCAGGGCCCTTTTCTGGCTCCCGGGTTCTCCCTCCGGCACCCTCTTTGGAGTTCCGACACTGCAGCCTGACGTGGGCGAATTGCCCCGACACCGTCCTCGGGAAGCACTCGTTGAAGAAACAGCACCCACTTCTGTGGGGCTCGTGCCTTTGCGCCCCACTTACCAGGGCGTTTGACGGGAATTTGGGCACAAATTGTCAGAGGAGTCAGCTGCGTGATGCGGGCTTTCCGGTGTCCTAGGGCCGGCAAGTTCGTGCTGTTAGGGCAGTGCAGTGCCGACTTCTGGGGGGCCTAGGGACTTCATCGCCCATTTAACCTGATCCTCTTCTTCTGAAAAGGGAGTGTCTTTGACTTTTTCTGGAGGCTCAGGATCGCCTAAGAGCCCAGGTCAGGCGCTGAGTGGGTCCGCCTGCTTCGTGTCCCAGAGTGGTGCGAAGGCCCGTGGGCCAGAAACGGTCAGCATTTGGGGAGATTTGCAGAGTCTTCAGGCGAAACTCGGAGACAGATGAGAACGTTGATATTTGAAGAATCTTACCTGGGCCTGGAAAGAAACTGTGAGACGAGACTTTCTGAAAGTCGCAGCTTGGCTGGCAACGGTCCTAAGCCTGCTGGAAAATAAAATCACAGTGGAAATTTTAGCTGTAGACATTCACCTGGGTCCAGCCAGATTAACCTATGGCCTAGCTCAGCAATTGGTCACAATAGGTGCTCAGGGGCAACAAGCATAATTTTAAAAAAGATTCATTGAACCTATGGGGGAGGCATGGCGATTTAGTGACGGTCACGGTCCTTGATTTTGGGGGGTCAGAAAGATCTATTTCTGGATCGAGGGTCAGCTGCTTTCTGGGTGTGTGACCTTGGCCAAATTTCAAGCAGTCTTATCTGCAGCGTTATCAGCCAAGCCATGAGAGGGCCATTGTTTGCTTCAGTGGGTCCAATGAAATCACCCTACCTAGTGGAAGAATTCCCATTCCAAGGATGGCGGCATTTCCAATGCAAATTACTAGGCATTTAAGAGGTTGTATTTTCTGTCCCTGCTTTGTTACGTTAGTAATGCAGGTTGTGTGAACACAGGATGAGAAAACTGGAACCAAACAAAATTCCCTCCCTGTATAGTTACGTTGCTTATGAAAAGTAAATCCTCCTAATTGGAGTTCTTGTCCGAGTGGGCAGAAATTTCTCCGTGATCGTCAGTCCGGGCAGCAACAGGCAGTGTGTGGGGTGGAATGGGAAATAAAATGGGAAATTCTCAGGCTATTTTGAAAACACTTAAGGTCTTAGTTTTTGAGACACTGGAACCTAGGGAACTCTTCCTTGTAACTTAGTTTGAATCCAGCTTGGACTAGAATGAGTCTTCCTAGGCTTATCTTGTAAGCCTGTCTTACGACTCTTTCTGAAGAGTCGTGGGAGCTCCAGGTGGCTCGCGTAGGAGCTGTGCCGTGAGCCAGACTAGCGAGGAACACTTTTCTGAGTGCTTGGGAGAGCAGGGGTTCGTGGTCAGCGCTCTCGACAAATCTGAAGTACTTCTCGTTCGTGATGTTTCCTTCCTGTGCCACTGCTTCGTCAACAAACAACACGTGCTGTGTGTGTCTTTGTCACGGTATTGGGGACGGGCCTTTTTCCCCGAGAGAGGAGCACAGTGAGATCAGTCTGAGACGGAGGAGCACAGGCTGGTCAAGGTCCCCGACCCTCTGCGTCTTGGCCTCCTCTGTGACCTGGGCCGTGACACTGCTGAGCGGCTGGCTGGCTCGTGAGAGGCCGCCGGTGCAGGACCAAGGACAGGGCTCCATGCATTAAATGCTCTGTCATTGTTACACATTTTCATGATGGGTGAGCTAATCTTTGACAACACTTTCTTCTTCAAAGAGTATTTAGTAATTTATGCAAGGTGTACATTTGTTTAAGATTTTATTTTATTTATTTTTAGGGAGAAAGGGAAGGAGAAAGAGAGGGAGAGAAACATCCGTGTGTGGTTGCCTCTTGCACACCCCCTACTGGGGACCTGCAACGCAGGTTGTGGCCATGGTGCAGAGTTTATATTTGAAAGTAAAAAAAATATGTCCAAGAGATCGTAAGTGTTGGGTGCTAAGTGTGACTCATTTCCTGTGCTTAGTTGGTTGACTTTTTGTTTTTAATGCAGTTCAGCATGGACCGCGCTAACGTCGAAGAGTTCTACGAGGTGTACAAAGGGGTGGTGTCTGAGTACAACGTGAGTATCCGGGTCAGGGGAGCTTTGGCGCTGAGAACAGTGTGTGTGTCCCTCACCTCGGGGACCTCGGCGTCGTCTTTAGTCCTGAAAGTTTTCTTTGAAGTATGCAGGGCTCTGCCTGTTGCCAGCCAATGACACCCAGTGACCGAGGCTTTCTGACCCCTGACGGCCACCGGCTTGGCTTTAAAAATATGATACTGTTTCATTTCCGAAACAGAAATCCACAGGAATGCAAGGGAAAAACTTGCTGGGATATTGACACATTTTGACACTGTCTGTCGTGCAGACGCTGCCTCACGGCTGGGCTCCAGGCCCCAGTTTGCGCGGGTCACCTGCTTCAAACCGCAGACTCGTGTGTCTCAAAACCCACGGATGCGTTCCTTTTCCCCCATCTTGTGGAGACCGATGTGAGGTCCAGATCCTAACCAGCCAGTGTGTGGCCACAGACCCTTGATTTCCTTCTCTGAGCCTCAGTCTGCCCATCTGCAAAATGGACACAATGCTGTTCCTTAGTCCACGAGAGTGTTGTAATAATAGATGAAGGAAAGCAGGCTGACACACTAAGAATACTAAGTAAACTCAGCTATTTTGTTACTATTATGACTGCTGCTGTTATTATTATTACTATTAGTCTGCCTGACACAGTTCTTTGCAGTATAGTCGCTGTTTATCATGTGCAGCCACACTCGCTGCGTCAGCATCCGCAGTCTCATAAAGGTGGTCGGTCGTCCCTGTCTCCCGGGGTTACCACGGCCCTCTTTTTAAGGAGCACGTAGTGCTTTTCACGGAGTCCTGTTTTCCACATTTATTTCTTTGCCTCCCGTGCGGCCCTCTGTGTCTGCGTTCTGCACCCCATTTGGTGTCAGCCCTGACAGAGAGGGCATCAGCGCGACCGCGTTGACTCCTCCGTCTCTGGATCGCGGGCCTCGGGTCCACGCCTGCCCCTTCCCCTGCTGAGGAGTGGGCTGTCGACATCTAAGTGCGGCAGGACTTCAGCAGCATGCGGCAGAAAACCAGGCTCCGCATAATTATCCGCAAAACAATTACTCGTGACCTTTGTGAGACCGCAGAGTGACTTCAGGGGATGCAGCTGGGGACCTTAATGAGCAGGGTTGTGGGGACATGCTGTGACATCCTCTCCCTCCGCTCTTAACCTCTGACATTTCTGTCGGGTACGATGACCAAGGCCAGATCAATATTTCAGTGCAGTCTGCAATAAGTAACCTTTATTTCGCTTTGGCACCACGTGTCCTAAACCCTGCAAAGTCGTTACCATGGCTTCCTCGGCCCTGCGTGGTCTGGCCCCACTCAGCTCCTGATGCCCTGGCCCCTGGGTGGGCCTCCCCCTCCCCCGAGGAACCTCTGCCTGCAAGTCGCCGCCGCTGCCGATGCCCCGGATGCCGTCTGAGGGCCGACCGCACAGCTGTGCAGTCTCCGAGTCCTTCCCAGCCCGCCTCTCGTGGTGCTTTCTCTCGGCTGTGGTTGTGCCCCCTGCACGTACATAGACTCTCAGCCACGGACTCGAGTGAGCCCCACCCCCCGCCCCCCGGCAGATCCCCGTGGGCCCCTCTCCCACGGCCCCCAGCCCCTGCAGCGTCCCTCCCTGCCGAGTCCAGCCGCACCGGCCTCCACGAGCCCGGCCTCTGTCCCCTGCGCTCGGGGCGCGGGCTGGGCTCCGTGTGCTTCCTCGCCCGCCCCGCCGTCCGGAAAGCGCCCGTGGGCGGTGAGCCAGGGTGGGCGGTGTGGCTCCCCTCGCTCGGTGCCCTCCTCTCGGACCGCGGTCCCCTGCTCCCTGTCATCATCAGGGTCCGAAGACTTGGGTTTCGTGTCGACCGTCTGGCTTCTAGATGTCTGACGGGAGAGCGTAGGCCTGGCCCCTGGTACTGCTCACTGCTGGGCGGCGTCATGATTTTCGAGCGTGTCCTTGGAAGGAGCACTGTGGGGTGTACGTCCTGAGAAGCGGGGTCGGACAGCAGCGCTGGGCAGTCCAGCTGGACTGGTGCCTGACAGGAAGCGGTGCTAGAAGATCGTTCCGGGGCTGCACGGGCCCAGGGGGAGAGCGGTGCACCCCGGGGGGTGGCCGGCCTGGGCACGGAGGGCGGGGAACATGGACAGCGTTTGGCAGCTGCTTGGCATGTGGGGTGCAGGTGGGGAAGAAGTCAGAGGTCACTTCAACATTTGGAGGCTGGTGGAATGGTGGTGCAATTAAAAGAGGAGTAAACAATTATTAAGTTATATTAATTTTTAATACTTTATATTACAGGAGATGGTGACAGAAATGTATTCTGGCCCTTGCGTAGCAATGGAGATTCAACAAACCAACCCTACAAAGACATTTCGAGAATTCTGTGGACCTGCTGATCCTGTGAGTTATTGTTTAAATATTAAGCAAGTTTGTTTTATTCATTAACTAAATATCTTGACCAGTTTGATAGTGTTATTTTACTCTTTAAAAGAAATAATACAAATATGAACATAATAGATAAAACTTTTTGTTCAAAATAACATTTCAAAATCATTTTTTTTGTGTGTAATATACTCTGGGAAAGTGAATTTTTATTACACTGGGCGAAGCATTTACTGTGGCATTTTCTTTTGTTGTTTCTTCTTGCTGAACTGTCTGGGTGAGTAGATGTACCAAGCTCTGTGACAGAAACTGTCTAAGGTATTGGTTATCCTTTGACACCAGGAGGCCGTCACGAAGCTGTCAGCGTGAGGACAGTTGACACGGTGGCCGACTCCAGACCCACCGAGCAGTGGCGCTCGGTGACACTTGGTAATCTCTAGGACACCGTTTGGTCGCCCTGGGCTGTCTCCACGCAGCCATGCAGTGGTGAGGGAGGCCCAGAGAGGGGCTCAGAAGCAGGGGTCGTGTTAGAACGCCCGTGAGACATCCCCACGCGGACGTCGCCAGCTGGGCGGGACCGAGAGAGGCGCTGCTGACGTTTAATGCCAACCGAAGTCTAAGGGTCCTCCACCCTGCATTCCACTGTCGCTCGTAAACAGACACGGGAGAAATGCGGCCCTGAGCTGGCTGCAAACAGGACGTCTGCTTACAGAGCGAAAGCTAGAACGGGGACTGGGGAGGGGGGGCGTTGTTGCTGTGCTCACGGCCCCACTGGGCGGTCGGGCATGCCACCCATGGGTGCCAGCGAGCGCGAGGGTTCCGTGTGACTCTCAGCGAGTGTGTGTGTTTGCAGATGTGGCCTCCCCAAGTGCCGAGCGGCAACCGAGTCTTCTGCGTCTTCTCCCAAGCTGGAATGGCATTTATAGACGAAAAATAAATTTTAAAAAGAATTAGCAATGCCTGCCTGATCAAATATCCTGGCTAAAGAAAATAATTTATCTTGAGGAATAGATGGCTGCAAAGGTTTTTGATGCAGTTAGCTTGAAAAAGCACGAAGAACATACTAGAAAATGCTTGCCTTTCAGAGTAGCTGTTTGTCTTAGATTTCTTTTGCTGTGGTGTTAAGTAACACTAGGCCCCAAAACCTGACAAAGATAATAGCTCGCTCTGTGATTATAAAAGATAAAACAATGTGACCTAAGAAGAGTAACAGAGAGGCAGTTGACATGAAACTGCTGAATAAAACAGTATTTTATTATACTGTTCCGTGACAAGTCAAACAAAGCTCTATTCAGATATAACAGCACTGGTTCAACAGTAATATTTTCCCAGAAAGGCAGGAGATGTAATTCAAATTTATGAGTAAGATGTTTGGAATTTTATGTATCCTCTTCAGGTAGCGTATACAGTTTTCAACTACATTAACTTATGAAAATATTTCTCTCTCTCTCTCTCTCTCTCTCTCTCTCTCTCTCTCTCTGTGGCAGTTCCAGTCACTGAGTCTCGGAACTGGGATTCGAACCTGTATATTGTTGTTCCTAAGTTCGTGCCTTTAATCATCACGGTATACTGTCTTATTACACGTCTGTGTGACCCTGCGCCAGTAATACCGGGGCGTAAAGCATGTACAAACCAGATGATTTTTGAAAAGCAGATACAACAGTACTTTCCTCTTTACACGGTTTAAAACTGGACGTTGTGTGACCTTTCTCTGGGTGACTTAGCTGTGCTGACCCCAAAGCCACAGTGTAAACGAGTCTTCACTTCGTATCGCGTATGTCGTAGTTACTTGTGTTGTGGATGGATTGGCCAGAACCTAAGAAAAGCTCGCACCTGTCGGAAGGCCAGTCCCCAAAAGGGCGGGAAACAGCAGGCGCTGGCGAGGACGTGAGCAAGGGCCCCTCGCGCACTGTGGGTGGGAGGGCAGACCGGTGCGGCCAGTTGTTACTTCGCCACGAAAAAGGGGGAAATCGTGCCGCTTGTGACGGCATGGTCGGCCCCGGAGGGCACTGTGCTCAGTCAGGCAGGAAGACAAGTGCCGTGAGATCTCACTGACGTGCGGGGTCCGAAAAGGAAACAGAAACAAAACCGGACGAACCGTGGACACGGAGAGTGGATTGGGAGTGTCCGGGGCGGGGGGGCGGGGGGGGGGAGCCGGGGAGCGGGCGAAGAGGGTCGAAAGGCACAAACTCTTCGTTATAAAATGCCCAGGTCCCGGGGGTGTCACCGCAGCAGGGGGACTGGTGAATAACCCGCTATTGTTCTTTGAAAGTTGCTAGGAGATTGGATTTGAAAAGCTTTCATCACACGCACACACAAAAAAATGTAACTGCGTGGTGATGAATGTTAACTAGACTCACCATGGTGATCATTGTATCAAATCACCTGAACCTCACATAACGCCTTACGTCAACTGCACCTCAGTTTAAAAAAGAGAAGTGAGCACAGCTGGCTTCAGGCAAACACAAGATTATCCGTGGAAGGGGGAAGACGAGACACGGAACACACATTTCTCTCTCTGTCCCTGCACCCCCCCCGCCCCTCTCTCTCACACACACACACACACACACACACACACACACACACACACACAGAAGAATGATTACAGCTGGTTTAAACAGTAACTTGGATCTTTGACAATTTCATCAGGCCATGCACTTACAGATCCAGCACTGATTAACCCTCCAAAGGAGAGGAAGAAAAAAAAAGAATGACTTTTCTGGAGGATCTGGACCCCCCACTGAGAGAGCGCCTGAACAGCCCAGCGAGAACGGCGCTGGCCCCGCGGGAAGCGGAGCTGCTGGCGCCGGCTGTTCTCTCGCACCCCCTTCGGGAGCAGAGTTCGGGACGTTCTCTGGGTCGGGCCATGCACTTCCAGAATGAGGATGTGTGTGTATTGCTGATACACACATGGGTGTATACCGTAGGTGTATAAGTGTATATGGTTTATGTATTTTTTTCCAGTGTCACGGAGAATGCAGAAAGGCCTCCTTTGTGAACCAAAGTTCCGAGGTTTGCCATGGGTAGGCTTAGGGTTTCCTAGAAATAAATTGGACTTGAACAGATCATTGCCCTCCACCTCCATTCCCGTTGGATGGGGCTGATTTCGATCCGTTCCGCTGAAACGACCGCCTGTTCTGTGGGCGCCGGCGCCGAGCCCTTGAGGACAGACAGGGGCTCTGCCCGCAGAGCTGGAAGCCTGGCGGGGGATGGGGCAGCGGAGCCGGCGATCGCACGAGTCCGTGTGTGTTTCGGCCACGGCGGGGGCCCGGCAGAGCGGCTCATGGCCGGGCCAGGGTGTAGAACCTGCGGCCGGGGGTTGGCCGACATGCGGGAGGCCTGAGATTCTCGTCTGTGCTCGGATCCGAGGGACGGGGCAGCCACACAGGCAGCCTCACAGCCAGGGGAGCCCAGCACGTTCCGGGGCTGCAGAGAGGTCCAGACGGGCCTCACTCCCCGCGCAGAGAGGAGGGCGGCCTGCAGGGCGGCGGGAGAGAGGGTTTGGGGAAGGCGGTGAAGGCCGCGTCCCTCTACCAGTGAGTGAGACGCAAGCACGGTGGGGGGATCCGTGGGAGGGTGGACCCAAGGGACTGACGGGACTAGGTTTGTTTCGGAAGACCACGGTGTGGTCTCTTCCGTGGGCAGAACCGCGTGGACCTGAGTGCAGCGGGTCCGACTGCGGACGATGCACCCCGAGTTGACGGCCCTCACTGGGCACGCAGTGGAAGGCGGGACGACGGATTCTGGAAGGCGAGTGAGCGTGCAGAGCTGTGACTCGGGTGTGGGCGTGAGCAGCCACGCGGCTCAGCTACCGCAGATAAACACATCCGTGGAGGAACAGACTGTTAAACCGTGGAAGGAATACAGCGACAGCGATGAAAATGCCAAAGCCTCTCTGATTGCAGTCATTGTCTCACCGCTCTTCCTGAGCTGGTGACTTAAACGGTGGGCACAGAGACATTGCTTTTGTTCCCAGAAGCAGAAGTTAGAAACAGAAAAAAAAAATAATTCAATCTTGAGCTTAAACTGTGTTGCTTAGCACCGATCAGCTTTCAGGAAGTTTGGCACCTTGGTCTTCGGTGGGAAGTCCTTGAGTGTATCGTCCTGCTTGCTCTTGGAGAAAGCCGTCCGGCCCCAGCGGCCCGCCCACGGGTCCTTCGGGGGTCGCTGTCACTTGGAGACTCCCTGAACCCAGGCTTGGTGACAGCAGAGACGCCGTGTGCCGCCCTGCTGGCACCGGCAGGTGCCGTTTCTCGTCAGTTCTGCTCCGGGGGTGAGGGAGTGGGTGGACTTAGTTGATTAGGACCCTGAAGCAGATGGTCTCTGAAAAAAACATTCTTTAAAACCTCACTGACTGAGTTGAAATCCAGCTAATACTGTTTTTCCCCCGAGTCTGTAACTCAGCGGGTTTCTTTCCACTACTCGCCATCTCCTACAAATGCGGTGCGAGCCATTCAAGGCCATCTTTGGAAGCTGCGTGGGATCGCACCAGACTGGCCTTCAAACCTTCCTATGACTTACCGCGACTTGCTAGGGATTGTGACACTTACCGACGTGTCGCGTCATATCTGGCACAAAATGCAAATGAAACACCGGTCGACTCTCTAGTGACACGGCCTCCCTAGCTTCGGAGCTGCAGAAATGACAGGGGTGGAACCACAGCTGCCCCTCCCTCGGGGGGGCCTCCTGCCATCCTGGTTTAAGTGTGACTGTGGATGCAGACTCCCCCTGAGACGTGTACTGATCACAAGCACCGCTCCGCCCCGCCGATGGTCTTCCCGTTGCCGACCCCGCTCAGGTGTGGACGGTTGCACGCTTGCTGCAGAGGAGTCCCCGGTAACCTTGACTCAAGGCACTTCTTCCCACCTCTCTAAGGTACTCACTCACTCAACCAGCCAAGCCACCAGCCAGCCCACCAGCCACGGAACAGTGACAGGCCGTCCAGGTGCCCGGTCCTCTTAGGCGTGGGCAGTGAGAGGGGGCAGGACCCACCTTCCCTGAGCCCGAGGGGCTGGGCT